TCCCACCCAGGCCAGCGCCTCCAACGGGGTGGGTCGGTTCTCCGGATTCGCCGACTCCGCTGCTGCCTTTCTTCAGGAGGTCCTACGGCATCGAAATTCGCCATCACTACTCGAGCAAACTGGTGATGTGCGAGCGGTAAGGATGGAAGACTACGACAAAAGAGTCTGTCCACACAACCGCTAGGCGTCCGTGCTGCTACGGCGTGGAAAGGTACGTGATGAAAGTGCACAAATTGCAGACAGGGCTGGTTCACACCGAGAAATGGGTGGTTTTAGGTTGGACGACCACCTTGCATCATGGGTTTGCACCTTATGTATTGGGAAGTGAAACGGCAGTAGCAGCAATAGTTGTTGCGTGAATGAGACTCAGGATAACCTTGCAATCCCATGACTGTACCTCTTTGTCGTCATGCAATCGAAGCGCATTCCATTCAGTGGACATGCGCATTGCAGGCTGGATGGCATGGTGATTGTTCACAGTGATTCCTCCTTGTACTCCATCTCTGGATAAAGCCTGTTAGTGTAGTTTTATAATCCACTTGTCAATTCCAGAAGTTCAACAGGTTTGCATTTCTCCGAGTTTTGAGCAGTCGGAAACTGTAGTCAATGCTGCAATTCAAGTCACAACTTGTGTTTTATGGGTTCTTAGGTTCTGTCAGCTCCTTTTGACCTGAGAAGGTCCACGTCTCGTGTCTGCGGTAGCCGCCTCACGACACCAGGGTGGAGGTTATGGTGGTGGTGTAAGCAATCCACACGCATTTACGAGATCTGGGTGGACGAGTGTGCGTGTACTGTCGTCCATTCTCCCCTTCTCTCCCCTCGTCGGCTCGATGCCCATTGTATACCCCGTTAGATGTTTTAATATGTAATTGACTACCACAACAATACAACTTGCAAAAACTGTCCAAAGAAACTCTCTTCAGTTGGGGGTGGGGGGCGCAAAAGTTGTGTGATTACAACATTATGTACATGGTATCTAGACGTTTGGTGGACGCAGGCTTACATCTAGGCGCGG